GACCGGGGACCTGGTATGTGCCGTAAAGGACCAATAAAATCGATATTGTACCGCGCGGAAGTATCGTTTCGTAACGAACCAATTCCACGTCGGTCAAAGTAAATCGTCGTACGTGGCTGGTGTGTACGGTATTGCGTAACAAATTCGCCGTTTCGCGCCGCAAACTCTGATACTGGTAAATATTCGTTTTCCCAACATTTGCCGAAGCTCATTGCGCATGCAAACCACTGGCGTATAAATTTATATAAAATTATACCTCTCTTTGACTGTATCGTGCGAGCGCGCGCGCACACGCACATACCGTTCGGATTTACACATCGAGTGTACGCATGTGCATGCATATGTGCATCTATTTGTGCATTATTCTTTGTTAGTAACGCCGATATATTTCTCGATACGTGTCTGATAAATCTAATGTGACATTAATCCGCTGCGCAATATTTATATAGGATGTTGCAGCTTTGCCAGACAAGATTTCAAAAAATTCGTTTAACAAATATACGCGATTTATCTTTTCTTTCGCAAAGATATCTCGCGCGCGACAGATTATTAATATTATTTATTACCATTAATTAATCTAAAATATACGTAAATGGAGTAAAAATTTATCCGCTACTTTCCGTTCGGTTCGACTGGGCTTTGCATTTCACAACAGAATCTTATGACTGTGAATTTGAAATTGAGATTAAACAAGCGAAAATATTTAATGATTATTATTGAAATACCGTATTTTTTCGAGACTCTCTTAAAGTGAGTCAATAAAAATGTTCTTGATTGAATCAGTAAAGAATTATTTCATAATAATTAAGGATTATTCACTATTTTTCGGTAAAAACACGCACGCTTTGCCATTTTGTCTTATTTTCTCTTGATTTTGACTAGTGGAAGTAAGATTTTATGCATACATAGTTGTTATAATTGCTTTTATTAAGGGAATGCTGGGGTCGAAATGTTCACCAATAGAATGCTGATAATTTCTGCAAAGTTTACGTTATATTGGATGCACGAAATTATAAATGCTCTTATACAATAAAAATACACGTGGGAATAAATTAGAACATTGCTCAATATATGACAAAAACGATAAAAATGTTCAAAATTGACGTTTCGAGTAAATTACGGCTGTTAGGCGCTGCCAGTTAAAGCAAATATTTGTCTGGTACAAAAGATCTGTAGCTTGTACATACTATGTCAACGCGAGTTTACTTTGCTCAAAAAAATATTAAAGGACATTGCTGTATCTGTATACCTGAATTTAGGAACTTAGAAATATTGGGAAAGTTGGCAAAAAAATTTCTATACGTGTATATATGGTTATATATATACGCAGTCTTCGTTAAATATGATAAAACAAAGCAACATATTTATTTTAAAATCTATCTACAAGATATACGAAAAGGATAACATAATTGTGTCAGCGACGATCATCTCTACGTTATTGACATTTTTGGAGTTCATCATCCATCCCAGTATTCCCTTAATTGATACAATCAGCGAAATTTTACTGATTGCAGTGCTATACGTCTACTGAACATTTCGATTAAGAATATACTGATTGTATTTTAGAGAGTATGTCTATATATAGACGACGTAAACTATATATGTCATCCGTGTAAACAATAGATAATCTATGGATATCGTTTAAAGAACATATCCTTTCTCATACAAGTTAATTAAGAAAAGTTAATATTTTTATTACACTTTTAGAGAATCTTGATGTAAATTTATGCACGTCGTTTCTTAACCAAGACCAACACAGTCCACAGAATTCTCTCTGGTTACATTCTTACTTATACAGAGAATCAAATCTACCAAGCTGTCACATAATAAAATGGAAATTTTATGCAGCTTGTTGTTTCTTTTAAATATTACATTTATAACTAATATCCAAAACAGATACAGAGAGAAACTGCTTGATAATTAAATTACTATTTTTTGTATATTTTAATATAACTTGCGGTATTCTACAGTTTATATTGTTTATATAAAAAACGAAATTGTATATATATACTACATGGAAAATAGGTAAACAAATCGCGTAAATATAATCTTGAGATCCACGGCACTATCCTGAAATCCCTTTAGCAAGATTTTACTAATTGCATTGCCACACTTCGAATTAAAAAAAATTATAAGTTAATTTAGTGAAGAATACACAGGAAAAAAAATATTCTTGTCTGGAGAATATTTTTATTGTTGACATTTTAAAAATAAGGTTAATGTTAAAATAAGATTATGTGATGTTAAACGAAGATAAATTTGTCTTCAATCAAGACGAATATAATCAAACAAAACATCATTTCTCATATATAAACAACAATATTGATATTCTTATTTAGGTATATATTAGAGAATGATTGTGTTCGGCTTGAATGAAAATAATAATACAGGCCTGCGTAATAGAGAATTTTAAAACATGTTTGAGCAAATAAAGTAGATTTATAGATAATTTTGTGCGCTGAATCCGAATCTGACTTCAGAATTTGTCCATCATGTCATGTTCCTGAGATAAATGAGTTTAAAGATGTCAAAAATGACGATTTTGATTAACTTTATGTATTTATTTTAGAGACACTAATTTTTGTTTAATATTTCTGTCATATTTCTGTATTAATGTCATCGCATAATACTAGTTTTCCCCTTTAAAATTCATCTTTAATTGTGCTCAAATGATATTTTATTCCCGAGATATATATCACTTTAACAATATTAAAATTACAAATAGATTCATATGCAAGGTACATATAGACCTACAATATCCAATAACTTTAAATTTAGAACTCAAAAACCCCAAAATTCCAAACATCAAATTTTAAACATGAAAACCATGCAAACCTGTAGTAGTATATAACCAAGAATATTAATATTGTAATATTCTATAAGAAAAATGATTGTGTTAATTTACTATATTCGTCTTGATTAGTTAGTTAAGATTAACTTATCTTCATTCAACGCCCTTCATCATATATTATCTCATTTTAACATTAATCTTATTTTTAAAGTGTCGACAATAAAGATATTTTCCAAACAAGAATACTCTTTTTTTCTGTATACATATATTGCTTGTATTTTAGAGAGTATCGATTCTAAATATATGCTACAGATTGCGCAAAAATGAAGGCGGATGTTTACGAAACGTCTCGCGCGCGCACCTGCACGCACACCATCGGAAATCTAATCTGCATTCCGTGCTCTCTCCGTTTCTCGCTTGCACCGGTGTGGCGGAACGACGCACATGTGCGCATCGTCGTTTCCGGATCCGCGACGCGGTATCGGGACCCTTTTACGGGAGGAAAAACATCTGGGTCCGGGAAGCCGGAACGGCACGTGAAGGAGCCATAAAATCGATATTGTAACGCAACGAACGACTATCTCGTGGGCGTGCGGTAACGAACCGCTCCCACGTCGGCAGCCCAAGTAAATCGCGGGTTCGTACTATGTACCGGGTATACGTGTAACAAACGAGCCGCTCGCCTTTCTTTCCCCGACTTGCTTTATTCCTTTTCGCCTCCTGTGGCTCCTCGACGCGCACCTCGCCCTCGGCTCCACGGACGTAGAGGCTGGGTCTCCTGGGTAAAAGGCAGCTCGTTAAGAACCTGAGCCGATCTCTTCCCAGCCATAAGCACGGATGTATACGTGGACCCGAGGGGGCTTACTATACAAGACGCGCGAGCTGCCGGGGAGAAATAGTGCTGGGATAATACGTATACCTGTAGTATATAGTCCGGGGATTATTATACTGATCAAAAAGCTGGCCGAAAAGGTAGTCAGTGCACACGCCAGCAAAAGTGATGGTCCGGGAAAGATTAGAGGGAGGGGCGGGGGAAGATATACGAGAAGCGTGTCAAGTTCTTGATACATGGGGTCGGACGTTCAATTTTTTTGCAAATTACAAAGAGCCGCAATGTATTATTATATTCAATCACGTTATGTGAATTATAAATATAAGCGAACGTTCTCCGCAAATTATCGCACTCGATATTTTTGTATATCTCTTTGACATGCTGACTGCCACAGTAACATTATAAAACTTTGTGCTCTCGACATCATGTTTAAGTTTTCAATATTATTTTTATATCTCTCCTCAACGTTTTTGATAATTATTAGTATTTTATTGCAGCTAAAAACTTAATAATTTATTTCATTAATAAGTCTAACAGTTAACAAAAGTTATTTTCATTGTACACTATATATGAAAAAATTATGCGTGTATGTATGTGTATATATATATATATATATATATATATATATATATATATATATATATGTATGTATATAAACTATTATAGGCGTGTATTTTATAATTACATTTGCAAGAGAAAAATTGATTTGCATCCCTCAGATACGTTATAACTATTCGCATTACAAAATAGCTTATCAGAGAGTTATTTTAAATCGCGCGTTATTTTACAGTGCGAATAAATTATATTTATTATTCAGCAAAACACTCGCAACAAAGATTTATCCTCGTATTAAAAAATGCCAGTCAACTCACACGGAACAGAGAATTCTTCTCGTGTACCGGCTACAAGATAACTCAGTCAGTGTGTTAAAAAAGAAAATATATGAAGATCACGTCTTTATCGTGCGTGCGCTTCGCGCTGCTATTTTCTCTTACATACAGAACGTGTAGCAATTTTAAAGTCAAGAATCATAATTCTCGGGTTGATCGATAAATAACTCACTATGATCAGAAATGAAGTGTCGAGAAATCGATAAATATACCGGGTGAAGTGGATGAAGTAGCGACAGTCCATTCCCGCGTTTCCCGCAGAAATGCTATTACGGCGCGTACGAAGAACAGCGATATATTTTTCCGTAGCCGAAGGCGATCCCTCACCAATCGATCGGCAGTAACAACGCGCAAATCCATCAAATGAACATTAGTGGTGCTCAAATGTTAAGTTGCTTGAACGGCTCATAAAGTCGAGGGCTCGGTTGACGAAACCAACGACGCGGTCCCTAAAGTCCAGAAAAGGAAATGTAATTAAAAGACTTACGAGCTAACGAAGGTCGGAAGTGGATTGCTCGTTGATAACTCAAAATCGCCTCCTCATAATTCTTCCTGCTCTGCTGCAAGATGCCCCTGTAACACAGAAAAACATATCCCATTTTCAATATTGACACGACCTGAGTGAAAACTAAGGAAAAACTAACGAAAATAAAGGAACGAAAATAAAGAATAAGAGAGCCCAATTTTTCATAATTTCAAACTCATTTCTCAGTCAATTATATTTGTCAACAATTATAATTGTTGGCAGTATAAACATAAGAGAGACAACCTTTCTCTGTTTCTACTGCTCTCTACAATAGACCGTAATTTTCTTCTTTAATAATTGAAATACAAACAAGCTGCTACATGATTATCTTGCCTCGGTATCGAGTCAAGTTGGCTAGCAACTTAGAGTAAGCAGACCATACGTAAAATATGTATATATCCTGATTAATTTCGGGGTCTCCGTGAGAGATTTCCACAGCCCTGCTGGCCCTTATATAGTGGCCAATTTTACCTCATCCGTCCAAATGCTCGCTTTTAGGCAAATGATACACGGAAAACGCAGTAAAAGCTAAGCAGTAAGAAAATTGACCAATATGGCCGGGAAAACATACCAAATGCAGTAACCAAATTGACTAACTACGGTTGATAATTGTTCTTACGGTTCAAGCATAATCAATTGTGATTAGTCAATTTTCTTACTGTTCAAGTTTTATTATTTACGTTTGTGTATCCCAGTTCTAACAATCGATTATTCTTTGACCGTAATCAAAATCATCGATTATGTTTAGTTAATTTGCTTACCGCTTATAAGTTTTACTGTTTACATTTTTTTTGCTCTTGCGACTTTAATTATTTTATAAATAAGAATTGCTTTTACTTGAAACAGAGAGTATCATACATTTGCAGAAAACTTCATTTCAATTAATAACATAATACTTGTGTTTATTCACTTACGATAGAGAATATTGATACTAAATTTCGAGACGCTCGAAAATGTATTTGGCTGTTCCTAAATCAGTTTTTTCTATTTTAATTGTAATATCACTCCGATTTTAATAAAACTCCGGGAAAAGTATCTATATTTTGAAAAAAACGTTTTGTGATTTCGTTTTCACTGTTCCTTTCACGATAAATACATAAATAAAACACATGGTCAATATACTCGTTGGATTCGCTTTCCCCTAAGTATAACAATGTGATTGTTTGGACAAACAAAATAACCACTGAAATGGCGCGTTACAATTTAACGGCCACTCACCACTATTGCATCTGATTACTTGTCTTCTTTTAACTCAATTTCCCTGAAGAGACAAAAGAACAGTCGATAAATATATGGCATAAAGCGTCAGTGACGTTCGACGCTAACGAAACTCCAGCCATTAACGAAGTAAATTAATTTTACAGTACCGTCGGTGTGCTTTCCGTTAGCGCGCCGTGCTCGCAGCGCGGTTCAAAGGTATTCGCCTCTTCGATATAACATCAAAGTGTCACGTCGTCGCGCGCGCAGAAAGGAAAAGTTTTCCGTCTCTTAGACAGTGAGCGATTAATCTCCCCTCGAAGGATGTCACTTTCAGAAACGATATAAAAATATTACTTGTCAGGGGCGATGACTTATCGCGCGCGAGGTCGCTACGCGGTGGGATTAAATTGCGGGCGCAATAAGCGCGATTCGTAATACCTGCGCACACACATGCTCACACATACGTGTATGTGCGCGGGGCACTCTCGCGAAGCTACATATTTTAGAAAGGACCCGCTTCGGCGTCACGGTGATTAATCTTTCGCCGTAAGTTGTCACTCGAGAAACGATGAAAATATCACTTGTCGACAGGTGAAGTATAGTCGCGCGACCGGTAGACGACTGCGCGGCCTCTATCGCTGATATTTTTCTCGCCACGCGTTATCGAAATCGGACTGGACGATATGGCGTGCAGTTATTTTTCTTGCGCGCCGTGTGTTGCGATATTTTTCTTATTTCCGACCAGATTAGGCTGGCTGGAAGCAAAAGTTTGCACGAGAAAGACTCATACCGGCGTATCTGAAAAATATTAGATACTCGTGAAACTCATATGATATTAAAGCCATTTTTATTGATTAGTAACAATGAGATGACATATAATATTTTAATCAAAGTATTGGCCCCGTTGCTATCAATAATCTTTTAGCATCTTTTGGCAATAGTTTGATCTCGCGCCAATAAAATGACTCGTCTTTTGAGACATTCATCGACACATTTTCGAAATTCTTCAGCACTTCATCAGATAGACCGCATCGATCTGAATAAATGTGATGGGACGATGTCTGAAGAGCTGGATGCGACAGGACTTCTCAATCTGATTCGAACAATGTCTCCTTAGTCATAACAGCAACATGCGGCCTAGCGTTGTCATGAAGCAAGTTGACTTTGTATCGATTCGCGGTTATTTGAGAATGTTTTCTTTTATGACTTGGTTCAAATGCCATAATTGTTGACTGTAGCCATCTTCTGTGACTTTAGCCATCTTCTGTGACTGTAGCCATCTTCTTTGCCTTGGTGGAAATAGTTCATAATATTTTTTCTTGGTTCCATTAAATAAATAGGAGAACTTTGTGACCGTGGAGGTTGCGTTTTATTGTGAATGTTGATAGTAACTTAAAGGAATACAATTACTAAGTCGCTACTGTAGCTACCTATTTGTGACCCTACGAACTTTTATATGCATCTAATATTTACGGTTCACGTATTGCGCTTCCCCGTACGCGCACTTCTGTATTTTGTTAATTTTAAACCAGCTTGACATCACTTGGTATTTTGAGTGACCTACTACAATCTCTACACTGCTTGGACAGTATTAAGTCATTAACATCAGCCGTGAGACTGGGACAGGAGAGAGGGGACAACGGAGAATAGACATAGCTGCGCGCGTCTGCGATGATTTATTATGGAGATTCTTCATGAAGATTCGCGCGCTTCAAAATCTCGGCCACGTGAACTTTTCTAACGAAGCGCGTGTGTACAATTTGAATGGGCTCGTAAATTACTGAGTGAACGAAGTTTACTGTGTGTTCCGTTCCGGACGCATCTCTGCACCTTCGTGCGAAACCATGCTCGGTTCTTTCCACTGGTCTCATTAATGTCGAAGTAGAAATTAACGTCGATGCGTCATTTGTCGACGAGCCTCTTCACAGACTGATCGACATTTTCGCAAATCGCCCCTCATCTCGAAACAATCGAGATTGTTATCGAAATGGAGAGTGCATTTAATGCGCAAACTAAATTCTTGCGTTACGACCTAGCTTCGCGAAAAGATTATACTAATGAGGACACTTTGTGCGCCTCCGACGAGCGATAAGTTCCAAGGAAAAAGAAAGACGAAGCTGAGAGAGAGAGAGAGGGAGAGAGAGAGGAAGGGAGAGAGAGAGAAAGAGAGAGAGAGAGAGAGAGAAAGGGAGAGAGAGAGAGAGAAAGGGAGAGAGAGAGAGAGGAGGTAAGAAGGATGGAACGGGATATTTCCTTTCCTGACGCGCGAACCGGTAGGATGAAGAGAATCCCTGTTCGTTAACGAGCCGCTACTCTGCGTTCGTTAATTTGCAACAAGACGAAGACTCGCACTCGCATACATAGACATAGGTCCGCTGCTTTGCTAGCTCTCTCTCTACCTCTCTCTCTCTCTCTCTCTCTCTCTCTCTCTTCCGCCATCCCTCTCTTTTCTCTCTCGCAGCAATCTCCGGTTTATGTGCCAATTTGTAATTTTACTCGTATTCTGTTTAACTCTGTTAAACTTATTATACAGCCCTTGGCCTATTTACTGATAGCGTGTATCGCGGCGATTTAACAGATCTTTTTCAAGCGATGTAAATTGTGAAACGCGTGACAGAGAGAATCACAAGAGGCTACGTAACGAAGCTAGCGTTGCGAGTAACTGCGGAAAAAAGTATCCGTTCGTTCGATGGCGCGTTTGTTATATCGCAAAATGCAAATATCGCAATACGCTCACGCACAGGCGATATGCAAAATTTTAACTTTAATTTCTTACAAAATCTTAATCTTTATCATTTCGTTTGCAAATCATTTTTAACGTTTTTTCTCTCAGTCGATCCGTAGAATTTCACCTACTTGGCGACAATGTGATTGGCGTGATTGTTTCAACACCTCAATATTCAATTAACCTATTTACAGTAATATATTTATATTGAGTATTACTATTAATGAGTAAAAAATTGGTTTGTAGAACTGATTAGAACGAAACGTGATGTCGAGATAGATTCGATGCAGGACTGCTAAGAGTTAACTCTTTGTCACTCATTTGAGATGCTTTGTTGCTTTGAGATAACATTAAGTTCAAGTCGATGCAAACATCATACTCGATATTTTTTTCCACCAACCATTGTTGGCAAGACTGTTTCGTGACTCTTGATGGAATTTTTATCTTACCATGTTGTTAATTATAAAAAATAATGAATTCTCGGCACCCATCGTCTGTTCTGCTTCGAGACTGACAGCTCGAAAAGTAAGTGCCATTTATTAATCAATTTGTGGCCTTTGAATCATACATTTTATTTCTCGATGAAGTTTCTTCAAATCTGACATATGGAGATTTTCGGGGTCACTGATTACGAATTTGAGTTCGGAAAGTTAAAATTCGAAATGTGGCGGATCCAATATGACGAACAGAGTTTTCAGAATTAGCAATCTCACTTTTAATATTATCCGGAAATAACGATATTTCTTTAATATAAAAAAGAGATATTTGCGTTTTTGACAACTTACAATAAACATATTACCAATAGTAGTTTATTGTAAAAAATAAGACTTAAGAAGGATTTTGAAAAAGATGTATAAAATATATTAAATATATAATATTGGTAGTTTTTCTAAATAAACTTAATGTTTCAATGTATCGATTTTTAATAATTAGTCTTAAATTTTAGATTTCTCTAAAAAATGATTTTCTTACTTTTTTGCTCATAATAATTTAACAATTGAACATTAAAATTATTTCTTTTTTATTTTTAATGTCTTACATTTATATGAGAATGTATAGTAATACTATTATTAACTATGTCTGCCGATAAATTACTTAAAATCATTAGAAATGAAGGAAAGA